AAGGGAGGGAGGAAGGAAGGAAGAAAGTAAGGGAGGGAAAGGAAGGGAAGGGGATAGTGAAAGGGGAAAGGAAGAAAGTGATATTACCATCGCAATAATATAAATTGGAGATCTTTTGTTTTTTATCTGTTTTCAGTATTTTTTACTATTCCTTTTGGGGCCCAGTTCCCGATTTACTTTGCATCCAAATCTAAAAAAGGTGAGTTTCAAAAAGACAACCAAACCTTTTTACAGCAATTTCTAGTCTTAAACAGTCATTTGTTACACTTTCCATCAACAGGCGCCAGTAAGAAAAGTAACGTAGCATCACCAGGTCAGTACCTTAGTTTTTACCAGTGTGGACTTCCTGTGGTAAACAAAACCGGTGGGAATGAAACTTAGTATGTAGAGGCAAGGAAGAGAAAAAAGGGGAGAGAAAAAATGGGAAAATTCGTATGACATATATAAGTTTCCATGTCTAATGTAATTGAAATTCTTTTGTTTTGTCCTCCAAATTGAGCTGCTTTGACGTCACTTGCAAGGGGTCTATTCAGATAATTGACGATGTTCAATGTATTTCTATTCTGTATCAAATCTAGTGCAGCGGAGTCGAGCTCCGAACAGATTACAGACGTGGCGTCTTCCTATCAACTACCAAGTAATGAATAGTAAGTCCAGATAGATCGTTATTTTTCCCCATGTATTTGAGACCACATGTCATTCTCTTGAGAATAAGTTTTTTTTTTAAGTCGTATCCATCTTTATGTGTCTTGTCATGCAAAACCGTGGAACAAAGAATGATATTCTAGGGAATGACACGTGGTCTGAAATGGGTAAATATTATGGCTGGCCGTAATGAAATTTACATTATTTTTTTAGACCAAATTAATAGTCTATAATTGATTTTTTCTTTTTTTCTTTTCTGCCAGATAAACGTTATTTCACACCATTCGTGGAAAATCAAGCGATAGCAAGACAGCATATAATCCCCGCGGGGGGTAAGTAGGGAAGAAATTGTCAAGGTTCACATCAGAATAACAAACAATGAGGATAACAGTTTTGCTTTTTTGTTTTCGCAAAGCATTAGCATATAACAGGGGATATAGCAGACCTCGATCATTTACATATCCGCGGTTGCTTAGCAACAGGAACCTAGTACCTTATTCAAGTTATAGAAATCAAGCCAGTACAGGTAACTACTTCTTTAAGGGGTAAAGGTCACGTGTTGTTGTCATGACAACCAATTTGAAAACTATTGCTAGGAACATAGGAGTGATGATGAAAACACATTATATTTGTTGTAACCACATGAGATCGATCAGTAACTGAGAAATCGTTATATATTTGAGACCATTTAAATTGATTACAAAATAATAATATGATATAATATCTTCATCTTTATATTTCAGTTCCAAGACAATTGCAAACTTTTTTAAACAGAAGAGTACGAAGAGGTATTGGTTTAAAAAGATCCAAGTTATCTAAAGGTTGGTATCACTGTGAACAACAACAACAAAACAACAAGGACAACGACAACGACAATGAATGCAAAGACATTATTCAACAAGAACAAACACAAACAGCCGCAGCAGCAGCAGCAACGACAACAACAAAGCTAAAACATACAGAAATCAAAAGCCTTAACTAAAAACAGATTATTATTTTTCTCTAGATTTYGACGCATCACGAAAAGCTGTCATTACCAAAGGTGAGATAAAGAGATTTGATTGGCTAGAGTAGCTAATTAGCCTCTTTTTCAAAAGTGAGAAAAAGAAATTTGATTCGTTAGACTAATTAGTCAGGTGCTACCCATAATGCTTTTCATCTTCAAAACATGCCAACGGAATGACATCAAGTGATTGTTTTAAATGAACCAATGAGCCGTTGTGAATGGAGAAAGTAAATCAAAATATAAAAATATAAAGTTAGGAAATCTAAAACGTTTTCAATATTGTTTTGCTGTGTACGTCGCAATCCGTGAGAAGATAAAACTGCAGAATGAAAAAATACAAAATTATTAAATATATTTTTGTTCCAAGCTTTTTATATATACCTTTTTTTTAGATTTTTAAATCGAGCTAAAAAATATTTTTATTTTCAATCATAGAGTAATCTTGATGACAAGAACTCTTTGGGAGCAAGTTTTTTTGAGGTACGTGTATAGAACTGGCTTCAAATTAAACCTTCTGCGTGAACGTATTGTGGTCTTATCTTTGAATGGATTGCCGTGTACTCCTTTTCTATATCAATGCAATTTTAATATATTAAAAAGTGTTGTAAGAATGCTGCTAGCTAGTATGAAAGTCTTAAGAACGGATTCCGTATTCCTAGAACGTATTTCATTTTTTACTGCACAACCGTTATTATGTGATGGATGAATCTCACAATGGAAAGCCAGTACATTGTTACTCTGTGTTGTACTTTATGTGTGTATATGTTGCAAGTCAGTACCGTACGTTCCCAACTCATACGACAACTATTGTTATGGGAAGCCATTTCAATGTTACGGGATATCGTACCGTGTACGTTCTATAATTCATTACCGTATGTTTTCCACTAATACGAGAACCATTTTTATGGGAAGCCATTTCAATGTCACGGCATTAAAATACCGTACGTTTTCCATTTCTGTAACTTACAAGTCTCAGCTCAGATATACTAATTTGATTGGCTAATCGAACTTCAATCAAGCGCATGCAGGTGACGATGTGAGCATGCGCACTGAGACAGTCTAACGCTTTACTGCAAGTTACAAGTTGTATAAGGTGCACGAATGTCTTGCTAAACCAATAATCTTTCTGTCTGCATGTTTTGTTTAATAACAGATCGTCAACGCATGGATAATAATGYCTTAGGTACCAGCAAAATCAGAGATTCGCAATCTGCTGTTGATAAAGAAATCGAGAATATCTTGACTAAGTTAATGATATTAGTATAGGAGTATCCCATAATATGCATGGCAAGCTGATGGTCAATCTTCCTTGCTTGCTTGCTATCACATCTTCCTTGCTTCCTTCCTTCCTTCCTTCCTTCCTTCCTTCCTT